ACGCAGCGTCCGTCTTCACCGTACGACCAAGCACGTCCCACAAACGATTTGTCATGTACCAATAAGCTGATCGAGCCTCCATGCGATTGATGGATTCAGGTCCCAAACCCTGGCGTATCCGAGCTTGGGGGCAACATGGATTATTAAAGGAGAATCGGTAATGAGGTCACGCATGACCTCAATTCAAAGGTATTTTGGTGAAGCAGTTGCATTTGATTATACCCAATATGTAAGCTAACCATGGGGGACCATGGTATGGTTCTAGAACCGTATGCGTACTTTATCAGTAAACTGACCATGATCTAGCAGTGGTCCTGTATGCTGGGCGAATGAACTGCAGGATCTGGGGAACACTGGCAAGGCGGTTCTGTTTGTCCTTGGGGAAAAAAAAGATTTGCAATTTGTGCTGTGCTGTTTTTTTCCCTTCTTCTTCTTGAACGTAGCACCCACCAGCAGGGCGCAAGATTTTCCAGCACTGCTTGCGATTTAGAAATCCGCAATTTGTTCTTTTTGTTTAGGGCATAATTGTACTGCTTCTGAACCTTTACTGAAAGCTGGCATGCAGCCATATTTTTATCCATTATTACTCTGCGACCAACCTTACAAAAATAGGCCCGTTTCAAATGTACGTTAATACTGAATCTAGATATCAGAAATTTGATGAACTGAATGTAAGTACGTACCCAGCAGAAAATATTGCAGTGTCAACAGTTCAACACACATGATACGACATCCGACCTCTGAATTCTGATGCCGACCTCTTGTCGTTGGTGTACCTCTGAGGTTTTGATGATAGAAAGGAGAGGTAAAGTTTGTAGTTGCTGATAGACAGATGATAAAAAGCAATGCTACCGCGATAAGGAAGGTGCAGGAACGAAGCACTCGGAAAAGGAGGCGGCATCAAGCAAGTTGTAGGACAGTGTCTGTCCTTATTGTGACTTGTGAACCTGAGCTGAGCGCTCCTATGCGGCCATGTCTGAACTACGGCCCTTACAGCCATTCGCGCCCATCAGCAACCCACGAATGGCCAATCATTGGGCAGCAGCGGGTTTGAAAATTTCCTTCAGTATTCGTCTCCCAAAAGGTCGGATAATGTGGAGCGATAGCGTAGTACTCCGTATCCGTATCATCTTCAGAACACCTTTACAGGTACAAGCACATGGAGACGCAGGCAAGTAGACCATGTTTGTGTGCACCGGCATGTAGCCTGCCAGGCCTTGCATTTTCCTTGACTAACATTTACCTAGAGACGTCTACCATGTTTATTTGGGACAGTATCACTGCACTGTCCCTGAAGAAAATGGATAGATATCACACTGCATCGTTACCTTCAGTGGCAGACTCTCTTGCATGTGGAGACTAATAGCCGTGCCAGCTTCATGCTGGCAGAGCTTGATCGCGTCTAGACAGCAACAACAGGTGGTCCCGAAAGCGAGTTGCCTTATCATTTTCTGCATTTTTCTCTGAGATAAGGAAGCATGAAAGCAATAACAATGATAAAGAAAAGTTGTGACGTTTGTCCTTCTTGTTCTCCGACCTCCCGGACCGTCTATGGCATTTTCACCTCCCGCTTCGTACCGTCACGGCTTATCAATTTTATCTGAATCGGCGGAAACCTAGCCAGACTGCCAGAGTGGCTTCCATATAATCCGTTGAAATTTGCATCAGTAGCTACAAAAGTCAAAATGTCTTATAATTTGGAATGGAGAGCGGTAGATAGATTACAAATTCTCTAGGACACACAGAGATTTGTTTTTTTTAAGAATATATATTTTGACTTTCAAAGAACAAATTATAAGACATTTTGACTTTTCTAGATATATAATTTTTAGATATATGTTATGCCTAAATACATAGTAAAAATAATGTATCTAAAAAAATCAATACATCTTATAATTTTGAACGGGTATTTTAGTATTTTACAACAAAAGAAACCTCCACAATAATTCTCAAAGACAAGAAATTATCATGTTAACCGGAGAATAGCAAAATTAAAGTACTCCCCTACATGTTGATAAATTACCCGCCACTTTATTATTAAGCAAAAGTTAACCTAGAAATATCTTTACATCTGTATCTCTATTACCATCACGCATGCCATTATTTATTTAAAAACACACATAATTAAAAAAGTACCTTATTTATATTAGCTAAGTGATTGAATCTATGTTTTGGAATAAAAAGGAGATCCAAAGGTGCAATTACAACTATCTTTTGATATGAAGTATGATAAAAAGGGACATAGTTCAATATAGTTCAATACAAGAGTTCAAAAAAAATAAACATAAACAAAGTTAAAAAAAAGATAATACCTAATAGCATGAACTATGCAACTAATAAAGGTGTTATCTGTAGAGTTCATGGTGAAATCTTTGATAATTGGCGATGAAAATGAAGGATGACACATTGTTTTTCTTATTCTTCATCTTCTAGTAGGCTCGGAGACTAAGTGTGTATACTTCACCTTGCGGTCAATGTACTGATTTTTTATGACCTGATTCCTCAACAACGTTGGGACTGGCTGTTTCTTTGGCAACGCTGTGGACTGGTTGCATTCTCAGGTATCGCTGGGGATTGCATCTTTTTCTGCAAGACCCTGGCACTAGGTGCATTCTACACCTAATCTTAGGCTCGGGGACTACAGTGTGTATACACTGCACCTTGCGGTGCATGTACTGGTTCTTCATGATGTTTTGGCTACACCAAGTTTTTCACTTAATGCCTCTGCTTTGCTCCGGTGACCACGTCATTGGCGCAATCGCAATGGGCACTTAAGTGTGTACACTTCACTGACCAAGAATTCTCAAATTTTTGTCTTGAGCTCCTTACATCCTATTGGTGAGCCTCACTTGGGCAAGTCCGAGATTTGCTGGCCAATCAAACTCGTTGGCACCCATCCTCACATGTCGGCGTGTCAATTAAGCTGGTCGGCAAGTATTTTCACCACCTAGGCCACCAGTCAAGCTGGTCGGCTATTATCTTCACCGCACGGATCATCAATTAAGCTAATCGGCTTCATGACAAACTGCTCGGACTTGACTAATACGGCGTCACCAAGCGAATACAAGGCGCTCGGAGGCTAACTGTGGGGGGTCTGACTCCGGGTACCCACGGCAATGCACATGGGCCATACCAACAGGGACGATCCAGCCCACAAGATGGAGGCTTGAGGCGCACGGTACTGCTCGGCACACGTCGCAAGGCATCTCGGCGTCATTCTGAAGATTGCATAGAATCTGTTAGGATATGCCGAATGTATGATTTCATGTAAAGATCGTATCTTATCCGATTAGACTTAGATCTGATCGGCATATAACCCTATCCCCGAGCTATATAAGGTGGTAAGGGACCCCCTCAAAACACATCCAATCATATACGGTAGCCAATACAAACCGATGGGACACATGATTAGGGTATTACGTCAAGATGACGACCTGAACCTGTATAAATCTTGTGTCTTGTAACCATCTTGCTCCTGTTTACGCGCACCTCTCCGATCAATCTACCATCGCGGGTAGCCCCTCGGTGGACTGCCGAGCATCTTTAGTCGACGCCAACCTAAAAATTATGCACTTTAGAATATTTTTAGTATTTTTTTATAAAGATAATTTTTATGCTTGTCAAATCATGTAGATAATACACATAGAAACTATATTCTCATTAGACAATTTCTACAAAATATATTTTTTGTCAAATCACATGTTTTCCTCTCCATCATTTACCTATCACATCTCTTTGTATCTTGGTTTACGTGTAGACATGGTTTCTTATCTACGATATCATTTCTTCCTCCCTTTGCATGCCACATCAATTTTTTCTTAGTTGGCACCTTAATTAATGAGTTTTCTTTGGTTGGGAATGCCCTAATATATAGCAGAACGTAGAAGTGAATTGTACAATAAGTACATGAGCTATTGTATTAAGTTTGGGTCCATATATAGTTCACGGTCATGGCAATAATCAACCAGTAAAGATAGATAAAATACACACATGGCGAAACAATTATCTGCTAGCTAGATAAAACTTAGCACAAATTAACTCTAGTGCATCAAAAAGAGGCTTTATAGGTGGGCTATTTTTTTTAAATAAGTTTGCAATTAGTTGTTAGTCAACTAGTTAGCCAAACTATATCTAATTTGGACTAATTTTTAGTCCAGCCAGTAACTAACCATGTGCATGTAAACGTGGCCTAGGTGTATAACTTCAATAGAAATGCACTACTGTTACATTTATTTATTTTTTGAATGGCGCTGCCTTGGGATGGCCTTCTCTAGAGGCCTAGTGCAGGACGGGGGTTCGAACCCCCACCGACCACCGTCCGGCTTCTCTCTTTTAAAGCCATAATAATAGGTAAATTTGTCATAAACACTCTTCAATGTTCTGCTGATGGACATGGACACTGAGACTCCACTATTATATATTTGTAGATGCAGTCCGTGTTTATAAGAGATGCTTATCGATGGACCCCAGATTTTATCATTTGCAAGATTTTAGACTATGTAACAATCATTTCATGAAGTCGCCATGGTGTTTTCTCTCCACACAAGAAAAAAACAATCCCGATCGAGCCGGATGCATTGCACAAGTATGGCAACGCTATTGAAAGAAATATAATAATAATATAAGTACATAAAAGAAGAAAGATGGGCACAACGCCTTTTTCCCCCCTTTGGCGCACTCGAGTGCGTGAAGGTGGGCAACGGGTGATATTTATCGATCGCCAGTGCCTACTTTTCCCGCTATAAACCTGTGATTATAGTACATGACTCCATTCCACGTTTTGTCATCTCCTTTGCCACTGTTCTATTTCTATCTGTTGTTCCTTCGGTTGCTACCAACGTCTCTGGCCGAGACATTGACTTGAACAATCTGCTTATCTACTACTTCTCCCACGCCGCCCCGCCACCTTTTTGGTGATTAATCAGCGAGAGTCCTTTTGGGCCGCGCGGATCGCATCGAGAGCGTTGAGTGGAGTAGGCGGCGCCCGGCCAGCATCAGCGATGAAGGTGCAGTGCGACGTGTGCGCGGCCGAGGCGGCCTCCGTCTTCTGCTGCGCCGACGAGGCCGCGCTGTGCGACGCGTGCGACCGCCGCGTCCACCGCGCCAACAAGCTTGCGGGGAAGCACCGCCGCTTCTCCCTCCTCCACCCCTGCTCCTCTTCCTCAGCCGGCGCACAGAAGCCGCCGCTCTGCGACATCTGCCAGGTACTAGCTGAGTAGCTGTTACTAGTGTTTCTCTCCAATCAAGCCCGATCGAGCTTGGACTAGCTCGGATGATGCTGTGGTGCTTGCTAACCGAGTAGCGGCGCTACCCGTCGGCGTCGGCGTGCAGGAGCGGAGGGGCTTCCTGTTCTGCAAGGAGGACAGGGCGATCCTGTGCCGGGAGTGCGACGCGCCGGTGCACAGCGCGAGCGACATGACGAGGCGGCACAGCCGGTTCCTGCTCACCGGCGTGCGCCTCTCGTCGGCGCCGGTGGAATCTGCCGGCCCATCAGAGGAGGAGGAGGAGCAGGAGAACAGCACCAGCCCCTGCAACGACGACTCCTGCAGCGCCGGCGCCGCGACCACGGCGAGCGCCATCGATGGGAGCAGCATCTCCGAGTACCTCACCAAGACCCTGCCCGGGTGGCACGTCGAGGACTTCCTCATCATTGACGACGCGTCCGCCGGCGACGTCGTCGGCGCCTGCTCGGACGGCCTCTATCAGGTCAGTTCAGTTCCATCATCCCAGCCGCCGATTCGGTGCCATGCAAATACTACTGCAACAAGCTTCTAGAGCCTGCACGAAGAAACCTTTTCACTGAGGCGTTCCTGAGAGCGCCATGAACATTAACTTGTGCATAGAAGTAGTCTGGTCCTGCCTTGCGCCACCATTTTGCACAGAGCCATAGAGGCCAATGCGACATACGCGTCGCCGCCGGCGATCTACCCTAACCACTATACAATCTTTGGCAATATATGCGAGCTGATAATCATGGAGCAGTTCGTTGTCGTGCTCACAATTGCATTAATTAATAAACAAAAAGAAAAGCCCGAGCGAGTTGCTGGACCAGTCTGTCAGGATAATGTCTCGTGGAGACCACCTAGATACGATAAGATCTGATACGAGCGAACAGCTCACGGATCTTTTTCTCGGTTGTCTCCGTGCTAATTTTTGCGTTTGAAATGTACCAACTTTAACCATGTGCTGCACATATATACTGAAATAAAACAATGAAAAACAAGGCAGAAATTCATTTCATGCTTGGACTCACTTGGCGTGTTGCCCGTTTAACTTGCATTTTCAGTAGGGACAACATGGACAGATCAGTGGGGTGCCGCAAGAAGCTTACATGCCGTGGACGGGGCGGGAGCAGGTGCTCGCTGACGTCGCAGACGAGCAGGCCAGCTGGGAGCGGTGGGTGCCGCAGATGCACGCGGAGTTCGCCGGCGACAGCAAGCGACCCAGAGCGTCGCCTTCGCCTCCCTGTTCGTACTGGTGAAAAGCTTCGCCGTCTTCAGTAAGATTGATTTGTACTGGGCTAACTAGAAGGTACTGTAGGAACGAAGAGAAAAATGAGCCAAAAAGCGAACGGACCGGTGCTTCCCTAAGTTCCCTTGTTCGATTAATTGGGTCGATTTCGATCGAGCTCGTTCCCCAATTGTTTGCTGCCTATAAAGCCAGACTTTCTGAATGTTTAGCTGAGTGTATGGGAGTGAGGGCCTGTATGTTGTATGAGCGTCTCAATGCCGGCAGGTCTCGCTGCCGCGCGCTTCCGACGGCCTCATGCGGCTTGGATTTTGCCGAGCGGATAGCCGTCTGAACGTGGGCCTTATATAGGCGTGGGAATGCTTTGGGCCTTTTTGTATTTGGTCACTTGTTGGGCCTGCTTTCTTCTCAAAGCACCGTACACTTTGAGGCGGAATTTGGCTCATAAAATAAAGGAAAAAGTCTCATTAACTCCCTAAATTTTCGTGAAAGTCCGTTTTTTCTCCCTAAACTCTAAAACCAGGCAAAACACTTCCCTCAACTTTTAAAATTGTTCATCTTACCCAAGGCCGTCCCACAAATTTCATGGGCCCTTGGGCCAGTAAGACACTAAGACAGTATACACATGGGTATAACGCACTGTTAGCAGATCATGGGCCCCTGGGCCAGTAAGACACTAAGACAGTATACACACTAAGATAGATAGCAGATCGGTTAGCAGATCGTGTTACTATAACGCATTGTTGTCTTGCCGGCGTATGGGCTGATAGCATCTACTATACAGTATACACATGGGTACCCTCATGGGCCCCAGCCTCATGGGCCTATGGGCATCGCACAGGCTGCCCCCCCCTATAGGACGGACCTGATCTTACCTCCCTGACCCTGTTATAAGCAGTTTTGAATGTGGTTTTGTTTTTTTCTTTTTTATTTATTTTGGCTAAATCTTTGAAAAATCATAGTAAATCATAAAAAAATCATAAAATGAAAAATCTAATTTTATTGGACTCCATATGAGTAGATCTACACAATGAACATATAATATGGTATGTTTTAGTATAAAATTTTTGCTGTGGCTTTAGATCTATGTTTTTCTGTAATTAATTGGAATAATTCATAGCTGCAGTTTCTATAGTCCAATTGTGATGGAATTTTTATGGTAGTCTAATTATTGTATGATTGAACTGTAGCAAAAATTTATACTCATTGGATCATGTATAGCTTAGTTATAGATTTATTTATATTTAACAAGCATAAACCTAATTAAAATCTAGTTGGAACTAAATTTGTGGCACAATGAAGCACCAAGCCTTTGCAAAATGTCCACTGGCATTTGGCACCAAGTGAAAAAAAATCATTAATCGCGTCATGTATCAAGATATCCCTCGGGTCCTCTTCACCTGCCAGCCATCTATACACACTAGCAGAGCCTGACCTTTCATGATGAACCATTTCCCGGGAGCAGTCGCCAGTGAACGTGACACCACCTCCAATTTCAAAACTTCCCTCCAAATGTGGCAACTCCGTGACGACGGTGCTCGCAGGGGAAAGCCTGATCCTGCATGGCCAATCTCGGGTGGCTTTCCGGTTCCAATCCAAGCACGCCGCCAGTCTACCACCACGCGGTGAGCCGGTGAGCGGACGCCAACTGGAGCGCCACCAGCAGTAGACAGCCAGTAGTTAGAAGGAGTAATCAATGTTTTGCCGTGGCAGCGGTGGCGTATCTGCGCGCAAACCCCCCGTCTCTGGCGTTTAATTCGAGGCAGATGCTGCGGCTGATGACGCGAACGTCACATCGGCGATTGGATCATCTACGGACTCCACCGGTGTCCTCTTCCTCGTACCCGGTACCCCCTCTTGTCTACTAGTCGTCTTCCCCTCGTCTCCTGCGAAACCGAGCGCTGAGCGCGTTCATACGGAGGCGGGGCGGCTCGTCGTCGGAGGATCTTTCGGCGTGTGGGGAATTCTAGAGGAGACGGACCGATCGGGATGGAGCGCTTCGTCTTCGTCCTGCTCGTCTTCTTGTGCTATTCTTCCTCCCGATTCACATCAGGTGATCTTTCTTCTTCGTGTTCGTGCGTGCGCGTTTCCATCGTTGGCTATTGTTCTTGAGAAATGGCAGCGCAATCCGCGATTATTGCTGATCGTTTTGACCGCGTTGAATCAGATGCCTACGACCCCATAGATCCGAACGGGAACATCACGATCAACTGGGATTTTCAGGTCTTCAACGTCGAGGACATGTCCCCGTACACGGTGCGCATACGTGCTTGTGAGTTTTAGCATCGCCATCTTACTACTGAATATTCCGGCTGATGCAGACCAAGAAAGATTCCGACTTTTCTTCCTATCCTTACTGGTTAATGCTACCGATATATTTCTTTCATGTTCCAAGTAGCCATTTTCTCCCTTTCGTAACATGATTAATTTTTTCGGTACATCCGGAGATTAAGCAATAAGCAATATGCCTACTCATCGAAGGAGAGAAGATCAATCGATTTGCTTGCTCCGTGCGTAGGTCATGGTGAGCATCCACAACTACCAGATGTACCGGCACATCGAGCATCCGGGGTGGCGGCTGAGCTGGAACTGGACCGGCAAGGAGGTCATCTGGAACACGGTGGGCGCGGAGGCGACGGAGCAGGGGGACTGCTCCGGCGTCGGGGCCGCGAACGCCCGCCCGCATTGCTGCCAGAGGCGGCCCGTCATGGTGGACCTGCCGCCCGGCACCCCGTACAACAGGCAGGTCGCCAACTGCTGCCGCGACGGCGTGCTGTCGTCCCTCGTCCAGAACAATTTGACGTCCACCGCCGCGTTCCAGATGGTCGTCGGCGAGTTCGCCCTCGCCACAGACATCGACGGTAATAAGGAGCCCGAGAAGCCGTGGCATTTCGACATCGGCGTGCCAGGGTACACCTGCAGCAACGCGACCACGGTGGCCCCGACCCGGAACAAGGTCGACAAGAACCGCTACGAACAAGTGCTCCGTAAGGCTTTTCCTTTTGCACTGCATTTTCTCCGCGTTCTCCTGCATCTGCACCACCATACTGGGCTGCACCACCCGAGGATCGAGCTGAACTCCGCGTGATTTTGTTGCTCCCGTCTGCCGTGCAGTGACATGGCAGGTGACCTGCTCGTACTCGCAGTACCGGGCGTCGGGGGTGCCGTCGTGCTGCGTCTCCATGTCGACGTTCTACAGCGACACGATCGTGGATTGCCCGCGCTGCAGCTGCGCCTGCCAAGGGTCCCCAACGTCGCCACAATGCATCAGGCAAAGCCAGTCCCGCACCAATTCTTGTCCTGCTCGCTCACCCGTATAGTAGATCGTAGCGCCATGTGTACATCTTCCTGATCCGTGTAACTTGTGTTTCTCTTTTCCAGCGTCGACCAACCACGGACGCCGGCGTTACCGGCGAGCAGCGACGACGAGCCGGCGGCGCCGATCGTCTGGTGTTCCGAGCACATGTGCCCGGTCCGGGTGCACTGGCACGTGAAGGTGAACTACCGGCAGTACTGGCGGGTGAAGGTGACGGTGTCCAACTACAACCTGGTGAAGAACTACAGCGACTGGAACCTGGTGCTGCAGCATCCGAACCTGCGGAGCCTGACGCAGCTGTTCAGCTTCAACTACAAGCCTCTCGTCGAGTACGGCAGCTTCAGTAAGTGACCGACCACGCAGCACAATTTGCAGCATGATCGCGAGTATGCATGAGAGGAAATGATGCAAGGCTTGTGGGGAGTTCTTAAAATTGCAGACGACACGGGGATGTTCTGGGGGTTACGTTTCTACAACGACATGCTGCTGCAGGACGGGAACGTGCAGACGGAGATGATTCTGGAGAAGCAGAGCGACTTCACGTATTCCGGGGGCTGGGCGTTCCCGAGGAGGGTCTACTTCAACGGGCACCAGTGCGTTATGCCGCCGGCAGACCAGTACCCCAGACTGCCCAACGGAGCCTCGGCTCTGCGGGGGTCGCTGATCGCCGGCCATTGCTTGCTGCTGCTATTCTTCTTCGCTCTCGTGTAGACTTGTTTGTTTCAGAAACAACTAGCAAGGTTGCCCGCGCAAATAGCGTGGGTAGCTGGCTTTCTTCGTTTTAACATTTGGATTTTTCTTACTTGAAATTAATTTCTGTAAATAGTACTGTTTTTTTGTTCCATGTATTTTCATCGGCACGAATTCCATAGGTACCCATTGGATTGAAGCTATAGTCTATTTCTCCTTTTCTTTTCTTTTTGTTGCATATGGTCATGCATGCAGCTAGATACAACTGTTGCTCGTGGAAGATTGTGATCAAGCATGCAACTCGATACAAGCGCAAACCTATGCATTTTTATTTTGCTTTCTTTCTTTTAAAAATACGATAGCTTAGTCTATGTAGTCCGTTTTTAGGTTTTTTTGCACCATTGTGTTTTTTATGATGAGAGCTATAAAGCTAGAGCCATAATGTTTATATTTTGAAATTTATTTTATATAGTGATAACGTATGTTGTATGTATAGTAGCTACTTATGTATTATATATATATAGTGGTAATGAAAATAACTTGTCACTTGATCAAAATATAACTTGCAACATACTTTAAAATTAAACTTGCCACACAAAAGGTTATGCAGCTTGTAGTGACTAGCATTGTGTAGGTGGCTTGCTAATGTTAAAAGCAGAGCTAAAGCAAATTGTTATTTCGCCGTCTTATTGTTTAACAAGTTGCTCTAGTCAATTTGTAGGATTTTTATTTGACTATCCACCCCTTCAAGCCATTTAGGATCTTTCACAATCCCCTTTAGCAACTTTTCAGGGAAAGAGAAATGGAGATCGGATTGAGAAAAACAATCCGCTTTCACTAGAAACAGTCATACTGGGAATGTATTATCTTTTCCTTTTTTTCTCGATCCTCCTAAAACCTCTCCTCAATCTCTCAAACAGAGCGGAGCAAATAGCCTTTTTCTCACTGATAATGCTCAGGGTCGCGCGTCCGTCCGATGGGACTCCCCTTCCTGGGCCTAGCGTGCGCGCTACCGGCCCAACAAGCCTGCCTCCTCTTCTGCACGTCTCCTCTATCTTTCTCAAAAATATCTTCCTACTCGCTTGCCCATCGCACGCTTCACAGCGTTGTGCGGCCGTCAGCTCGCTCCACTCTGCATTCACTGCAGCGGCCATCTCCCCCCGACCTCATCCTGCGCTGCTCTATGCGGGTCCCGCCGACCCTGTAGACGAGAGGAAGAAGCCCTTCAGGATCGCCAGGTCCTTCTCCTCTATGCGGGTCCCGCCGACCCTGTAGACGTCAACAGGGACAGCTTCTCTTCGCGGCCCTGTCCGTCACTGGCGCCATGTGCAGGCGTCGTCTGCCGGTCATGGCGCTCCACTCCGTCCTGGCGGACGTCGTGGTGAACTGACGCGCTCGTCAGTGTTCATACGTGGGTTAGACAGAACAGCACTAGTATGTCCGACGCTGTTCCTGACGTGACCCCCCAGATATGACCCGTCGTGGGTCGCGGGCTACATCGAGGCGTGTCAGTCTCTTCCCTAGAGCTTTGACCCAGGCCCATACCCTTAGACCTGGAGTGGTTGGCGACGGCATGGATCTCCGTCGGGCCAGACCGAGCCTCCAGCCTCGGGGTCGAGCGAGGCGGAGTGCAAACCCAAGGCTCGGGCAAGACGAAGCCCAAACCCAAGGGTCAGGCGAGGCAGCCCCAGGGGTCGGGTGAGGCGGAGCCCGCGATCTCGGTGTCGGGCGAGGCGGAGCCACCCTCAGGGGTCGGGTGAGGCGGAGCCCGCGGCCTCGGTGTCGGGTGAGGCGGAGCCCTGCGGCCTTAGGGGTCGGGAGGCGGAGCCTGCGGCCTCGGTGTCGAGCGAGGCGGAGCCAACCCCCAGAGGTCGGGCGAGGCGGAGCCTGCGGCCTCGGTGTCGGGCGAGGCGGAGCTCACGGCCTCGGTGTCGGGCGAGGCGGAGCCAACCCCCAGAGGTCGGGCAAGGCGGAGTCCGCCGTCGGACGGGGCGGAGTCAACCCCCAGAGGTCGGGCGAGACGGAGTCCGCCCTCAGGGGTCGGGCGAGGCGACCCCGCGATCTCGGTGTTTGGCGAGGCAGAGCCAACCCGCAGGGGTCGGGCAAGGTGGAGTTTGCGCACCTAGGGGTCAGTTGGAGCTGTAGTCACGCTCTTGACTGGTCGGACGAATCAATGTTGATGGTTATTAGCCCTCTTCGGATACCCTAGTATTGGTCCCCGACAAGCATCTTTGACAGCACCGTGTGCTTCCCTCTCTTCGATTTGCTTCAACAAGTCCTTATCGTATTCACTAGGAAATGGATCGCTCCCATCAGCATTATGATATAACTCCAATGGCACATGCTGGTCATCGATGTGTGAGATATCTTCGTCTTTTGAAAGAAGTAATTCGACCTGCCTTCTTTTGCGACAGTAAATGGCTGCTTCCTCTGGATCTTCAGGAACATAAGTGTTGTGTGCGTGCACATGCTGTGCATGACGTTTGAATATTTTGAACCGGCGAGCCATCTCGGCATGGTCGCGTTGCTTGTTGAAAGCCTTGCACCAACGCTCATATAAGGCCCATACAGCTTCATCCGACTCCAGGTCCTTGTCCATCGGAATGATAGCATCATCTATGACAATGTCCATATAAGTTTATTATATGCCCATATAAGACAAATGTAGTCATTTAAAGCAGTTGTATATTAAGGGCGCGTTTAGTTCCGGCCGAAGTTGGCGCCGTCTGAAAACCGGATACGCTGTAGCGCAATGTAGCATTTTGTTTGTATTTGATAATAATTGTCCAATCATTGACTAATTAGACTCAAAACGTTCGTCTCGCAAAGTACAACCAAACTGTGCAATTAATTTTTTATTTCGTCAATATTTAGTACTTCATGCATGTATCGCAAGTTTGATGTGACGGAGAATCTTCTTTTTGCATAGTGCCAAATTCAGGAAATTGGGGAACTAAACATGGCCTAAAACAAGGATGGATATTTTAAAATTCAGCATGATGAGAAGTAAAAGATGCAATTTTTATCTATATACTAAATCAATATTAACTTCAAAATTCAAGAAGTAGAATAGGATGACGTATGGCACTAAATTATTTTTAGGTACTGTCATACCGTGGCCTTTCATCTTTTTAAAACATTTTATTTTTTATTGCTAATGCTTCTGCATATCTGTTTCAACCCCCTGCATATTTCCAAGGCATCTCAAAAAACAGATAACATGGCCTTGATTAGGTACCATCTTACATACACATGTAAGTTAAAAAGTTTTGGAATACTTATATACACTCAAACTGAAGCATGCTTATACAGATGCTGCAGTCAAACCTATGTTAGACAGAATAAGAGTGAGGGACCTAGATGAGCCCAAACATCCATGATATTCAGGAAAATTAAACCAGGCACCACACATTGGACACTCGGACTCAAATTTAGATTCAGTCATTCAGAGAAGAAACAAAGCTTTTAGAAAGTTTCAAGCAACCACGACCTAGACCCACGATTCACAAGTCATTTATATCAAATCTGCAGGTGAGGCATGAGGCATCAAGATATTATTAACCAATGATAACAGAGACAGATAGGTAGCCAAACGTGATAACATGAGAATCACGTTCAAGCACTCTGAGAACATGATGAGAAAAGGCCACTGTACTACTTAAAACTCAAAAGGGATTGGTTTACCTGACAACTGCTCGTCATCGGCGCAGGAAGAGGTGCGGCAGCGACCATCGTCACGAGGCTTCGTGGAGCCATCGTCGTGAGTTGGGCAGCTCTTGACGGGAAAGCCTGAGTATAAGCGGGCGTCGCGAGGGGCTGCTGCGGCTACGCCGGACGCACGCGGTGATCGGGATGCCATCCCAGCGGCGCGAGTTGCGGCTGCCGCAGCGGCGCGAGGTGCGAGTGATGCGTTACGGGCAGCCCGCAGGAGAGTCGATGCCATTGTTGCCAATGGCCGCGAGAGCCCACCCCCTGCAGCCTTCAGAGATAGAAGATTAGAAAACCCTAAACGGCCGAGAGCTTTGGCCCTGTTCACTTGTTCCAGGACCCGTACTATTTTAGCGAATGAATAGTATTTTTCTCTCCCGACAAATCAGCGAACAGTACTTTTAGACATAGCTTTTCAGCAAAACGAACAGAGCCTTTGTATTTGTAACTGTAGTATAAAATGCACTAGAGTCCAATAACTTTTGAGGAAATATCATTAACTTTTGGGTACCTAAACTTTTTTAATCGATTCGCTATAGGTCTGTACCCTTTTTGTTTATATTTGTATTTTACATTAACCTTTCTATATTTCTTCTTCGTCTTCTGATCGAGAGCACGACGGCTTGCAGTGCGAGCAAACAGGATGGAGGCTGGAGCAGCAGGTACGTGGGCGGTGGGCGCAGATCCCCGCTGCTAGCGGTATGTGCGGGTGCGCAGCTAAGTTGTACGGATATGGATACGCGTATCGATATCGGAAGGATACGGATACATGGATACGGTAATTTCCTAAGAAACTCGATACGCGGATATGTTTTACTATTTTTTTAATAAATAGATAACAATGCATATTAAATTACAAAATAGATGTTCAAGTTCAACATAGAGACATTTAAGGTCTATTACACTTAGAATAACATGATAGCAGGTTCTAATATAGAAAATTAATAAAATGTCTATTACACCCGTAGCAAACTAGCAATATAGTACTATAGTAGGATATGATAGCAACATCAACATCAAGCTTCTTCCTCGGTTTCCTCATTCTCCTCCACACTTTGAACCTCAAGATCACCCAATCCAAATGATACAGCCTGCAACTCCGGCTCATCAATGGAGAGGTCAGCAACTTCCAGAAGACCTACACCACTAAGGGAATCAAAAGAATCTCCTCCAACATTCCACATCCTTGTCTCTCATATCTTGTATACATCAGTTCTTCTTGACAAATGTCTCAGATTTGAGTGCACAAGGACCAAATCTTCAGCCCGCTCAGGAGTTAAGGCATTTCTCTTGACACTATGGATGAAGCTATATGTGCTCCAATTTCTTTCACAGCAAGAAGAGGAGGCGGTTGGCTCAGCAATTTTATGGCCAAACTCATCAATAGAGGGACAGATTGTCCATGATTGTCCACCAAGTCATTTGAGAAATAGTCCATCTATCATGTATAAAATCAGGATCATTGAATTCTTCTGAACAACTAGAAAACCTTGAGTATTCTTCCTTTACTTGAGCCAACTCTTGCGGTATGCCAAATAACTTCTTGAAGCAAGACATCCTCATTTGTGATACCTCCTTATCCTTGGGGGTAGTCGGCCAGCACCTTCTTTAAGCCACTTGTTGCTGTAAAATCTGCATTTGACAATTTAGCATTACAATTTAGAACATGAGCAACTGAAAAATAAAGAGCAAAGAATCTGAATTCTGAACTATATAGTGTATAGTGTTACCTTGGATTGAGTGAATGAGCCAAACAATGCAGTGGATTATTACCTTTTGTCCACATAGCAATCAATATATCATGAATAACAGAGTAGAGGTCTAACTCCTCATTTGGTTCCTTCCTTCATACAGATATATCTCTTTCTTCACTTTCTCAATCATTGAATCCCACATCTCATAGATTAAGTGAAGACACAGGGTGTCGGTGTCCGCAAAGCGTATCATATCATAGATAGGAGTAGTGATCCTAAGAATGTAATCTACATTGCCCCACCAGACATCACTTAGTATTTTTTCCTTTACATGTTGGGCAGTTGAAGCATCCTCTTTGTAGATGCTCCATTTGTCACTAATCACCATGTGTTGGAGAGCTGCTTTTACCTCAACAAACCGTTTTAGCATACACACAACCGATGCAAATCCTGTTTCAGCAATAGAAAGCAACTTCAAATGGCTGAACTCATTGAACATGGAAAGACGCATGCCATAATTCATTATGAAATTCTTGATCATAGTAGCCTCAACTTTAACATTGTGTATAAATTCTAGTTGTCCCCAAACATGCATATCCTCATCAGTAGGTGTCCTTGGCAGTTTGGGTTCACATATATTTTTCATAGCAAGGTTGAGAGTATGCACTACACAAGGTGTCCAAAATATGTGATCATATTCAGCTTCAATTAAAAGACCCGCACCTTTGCAGTTTGCAGCATTATCTGTGATGATTTGTACCACATTTTGTCGCCCTACTTCATCAATAATAGCCCTCAACTTCTTAGTAATATATTCTTTTGACTTGTATTCTCCTTCACAATTGTCAGCCCTCAAAAACATTGGAGCTTTCTCAGAAACATCAATGAAGTTAATGATTGGCCTCCTCTGAGGATCTGACCAACCATCACTGCAGATTGTGACCCATTTCTCTAGCCATGTGCTCTTTGTACTCTCCAATAGATGCTCTATGTGCCTTCTTTCTTGCTTCAGGAGTGATTCCCTAGCCCTGTTATACCCAGGGATTGTGTAACCTTGCAAATTGCGGCTGCAAGCAAATGCAAAAGCTTCTCTAAAATATGGGTTTCTCAAAAAGTTGAAAGATACCCCTCCAGAATATATTGCTCTAACAATTAAAGCATCCAAGTGCTTGCGGTCTTGCAATGCCCAAGATTTTTCCAATATAGAAGCAGGTCCCCTCTTGTTCTTCTTGTTGTAATTGCCTGAAGAAGGAGCTACAGGCAAAGCAACGGTGCGTGTCTTTGCTCTTTCCACCAGCTCCTTGCACCTTTCCACTTCCCTCCTCATCTCACTCAGCATTTCATATGAAACCTTTGGACATTTGATAATCCCCTTCCCTGATTTCTGCAGCAAATGAGCTTCAACTCTAGTGTAGCTGTTGTTTTTTTCCAATGGACAATAGTTGCATCTCCAAAGAGCATTTCCTCCACCAACTTTAGGCCTCTCTAGAATGGTGACATGATCCCACAACGGAGCCTTGATATTAGTTGTTTCTCTGGACCCAGATCCCACACTACCACTAGCAGTAACACTAGCACTAGCACTAACTACACTACTCAAATTTGGAGATGCCATACTGGACAATGAACATTGGACAAAATCAAAAAGGCTCTAATCAGTAATCAGGAAGGGGTAATGGCATTTGGCCTAATGGGGCAAGGCGCACTGGCTCAGCTCTAAATTGGATTGGGGAGGGAGAGGAACTCACCTAAGCAGGGGGCTCCTTGTTGTCGCTGGCAAGGGCGAGGGCGGAGGCTGGTCGCCCGCCCGGACCGTCTTCTCCTGGAACGCGCTCGTCGAGGCATACTCGTCCTGGAGCGCCGGCGAGGCCTTGCGGGTCTATGGTGACATGCGGGAGTCAGCGGCCCCAAGATCGGCGCCCGACGGCCTCTGCCATGCGTGGCGAAAGGGGGCGGCCTCTGCGGGGGCGAGCTGCACGGGCTGGCGGTGAGGGCGGAGGCTGGTCGCCGGCGAGGTCGGAGGCGGACTGGCGGCCAGCAGGAGGCGGACCTGCGCGAGGCGGAGGCAGAGGCGGCTGCGCGTGGGAGAGACTGGGAGACGGGGTATTAACCTATTGGCCCGGCTGGGCGAAACATTTCCGATCGTCAGTTTTCGGCCCAACTAAGCTGGGATACGCGGATACGCCGTGGATACGTATCCGGGCCGTATCCCAGGCGTATCCGTATCGGATACGTATCCTGTACGGGATACGCCCCTTCCCTGCCGTGTCCGTGCTTCTGAGGTGCGCAGGTCGTCTTCACGCCGTGGGTTTGGAGAGCTGAGCATACGGGTGTTGGCGGGTCGATTTCCATCCAGAATATCCGGCGGCGAAACTGAGCCACATCAACGAAAGTATTTGTTCATGTCAGCTCCAATGAATATCAGCTGCACGCAGAGTTCAGTCTTGAGCCTGATGCCACACAGTTCTAACCTTAGGGCTTCGTTGTATTAGGCCGTACTAAATGTGAAGGTTTCGTGCTTTGTTAAAAGAGGTTTAGTGACTAAACTTTAGTCGTTTAGAGTTCATCAGCTGATCAAAAATCGCAACGAGTTTCTGTTCTCGCTTGTGCACAGATATCGATTTCATAACATACAACCAGGAACAATTACCACACGTGATTCGAAAATATGGAAAGAAATAGCTGCTAAATGAATCATATTTTGTGATTGTTACAAATAAGCCTGTGCATAATCCCTGGTGTATCGAAAGGTAACCAGTGAATCACAAGGTTATTGTGAAAATGGGATTAATCATGACCGGGGATGAAACGCCGGCGACCATGGACGGGAAAATGATACATTTTTGTGTGATGCGACGACGGGGGCTGCGACCGTGCGGCGTGACAGCAGAGGAGAAAAGGATACGAAATGCGGCATGGTGGAAGCAGAGGCAGGCTCGTGCTGGGTGCGCCACCGCCATCCGTCGTCCGTGCAATGTAGCACGATGCAGGAGGAGGCTCGGTGTTTCGCAGGCCATACAGGTAATTTTCTCATGAAACAAACCAAACCAGAGTCGTGGCCTAGATCCACACATCTCGGTTTGGGGCTTTGGGCTAGGGCTGGATTTGGTTTGGCACAGTTAGGGTCGGGCCCATACATTACCCATTACAAAATTAATTAAAACAATAACAGCTTGCTTCAGGATTCGTGCAAACTTCATGGAAAGGTCCATTGAACCAAGGAATGAGACATCTTTGTCCAAATCATTTGCTCCTTTGCACTTCATACTTTTATGCAGAGGATAGATCGTCTCCGACAAATGTACTACTGCTAAAGATTGAAAGGCATTTTACTGTTTGTCTCGCTAGGCAATCATAGATAGGGTGCAGGTTAGCACAATTTTTTTGAAGTGCGGCATGCATGATACTTGCTCCTCACAAGCAACACATCTACTGCATATTGTCTTATATTCCTGCATCCACTGTCAGTTTATTGGGTCCAATCCCTGTGCAATCCTTGCGTTGATGCTGGAGTAGAGTTCATCTCCTGAGCCCGAGGAAGGAGAGAACGAACGCGAAGTAGTTGAAGCGGTAGAGGTAGCGCATCAGGGTGACCTTGCTCTCGTCCCACGGAGGGTACCTGAGTGTCAGCTCCACGAGGTAGCCCCGCTTCATGACCGCCTTCTTGTGGCTGAACATCTCGAACGAGTACTTCCCATGGTACTGCCCGAACCCGCTCTGCCCGACGCCGCCGAACGGGAGCCCGTCGATCGCGTACTGCGAAGAACACCAAGTCAACCACCAGAAGAACAACCATAGCTACGTGATAAATTTCTGCCTACCCTACTGCTACGCCTAGTAGGAGGGAGTACCTGTACTACCGCGTCGTTAAAGGTGACGCACCCGGACGACGTCTCGTCCACGATCCGTCGCCGCAGCGCGGCGTCCCGGGTGAACGCGTAGATGGCGAGCGGCTTCGGCATGGCCTTCACGAAGGCGATGCTGTCCTCGATCTTCTTGACCTGTGTGTACTCAGCGCCTCAGTTCACCGGCCGGTCACCGGAGCAAAATTAAAGGCGCCACCTGCCACAGGCTTCACGAATTTACCGTGATGATCGGGAGCAGGGGGCCGAATATCTCCTCGGTCATGATCGCGGAGTCCAGCGGTGGGTTCAGCAGTATCGTGGGCTCAATGTACCTGGGACAGTTTCGTCAGAGAACAATGACCCTGTCTTCACACAGGAAGCCAGTTGGCAAATCACTGGATGTTCAGAAACTCACAAGTTCTTGGCGTCCATGGAGCCGCCGTGCAGGACGGACGGTGCCACGGATCTGTCTTCCAGAAGGTTACTCAGCCTCTCGAAGTGGCGCTTGTTCACGATCCGTGCCATGTGATCCGTTTCCTGGAAGAACCTCTTCAGCGTCGACTTGAGCACCTTGATCTTCAGAGCGGGCGAAAACACAACGCATGCACGACGAGAAACCCACGTCAGTTGCAAACATTCTCGGAGCATGATCAGCGACAAGCCGGGGGTTAATTAATACATAGTTAATCAAACAGTAGGCAGCAGCAGTGCACCAGGATGGGCGCGAAGCGCTCCTCGACGAGCACGTAGTCGATGGCGATGCAGGCCTGTCCGGCGCAGGACGACCACTTGCCCGCGATGATGCGGTTCACCGAGATCTGCAGGTCCCGGGCGCTGCCCATGGCGTCGAAGATGCACGGGCACTTGCCGCCCAGCTCCAGCGCGACGGGCGTCAGGTGCCTGGACGCCGCGGCCATCACGGCGCGCGCGATGCGCGGGCTCCCTGTACGTGGGGGCAATGGACAGTGTGCTGAAGTGACCGCCCTGAACTTGTGCTTCCGCAAACGCTTTGGTTGCCACCATCAGGGCATCGGGTAAAACACTTGGGTAGCTTACCGGTGAAGAGGACCTTGTCCCAGCGGTGTTCCATGAGCTGCTCCCCGACCTCCGGGCCGCCCTGGACGACCTTCACCGCGGAGGAGTCCATGTACCTCCCGATGTTGTCGGCCAGGAACCTGGAGGTGCACGGCGAGAGCTCCGACGGCTTCAGGGCCACGGCGTTCCCGGCCGCTATCGCCCCGATCAGCGGCTCCAGCGATAGGCCTGCGTGTGGAACGTAACCAACGCACGTGACATGACTGAGTACGTATCTATGTCCCGTACTTGCAACACTGTGCGCCTATGGCTATCATAATGTGATATTGCTGGTAGTAGGCAGTACTACTAGCACTTACTACCACAGATGACAATCAGTACTCGAACAATTTACGACCGAGTACGCCTGCGGAGTGGTAAAATGATGAACGTACAAACTCCTACTAATCTTGGAGTGGTTACTGCAAGGACGATATTTTGGACAATTTTAGCTGGCCGGAGCTGGAGTGCTGGACAGGACAGCTGGTAAATTGGCTAGTCGCCTGTACAGAAGGAACCAACCTCACCAGGCCACCATGCTAAATTGCTAAGTTTATACTAATCTTGCTAGCTAGCATAAGATTAGCAGACACGGTAATGTTATGCAAGGCTCTGTCAGTTGCCACACCAGTTCAAGCTCTGCGCATTGAAACCACTCTCTGGCGCTCTCGCTCAGCATGTGGCCGCTGAACGCCTGATTGCCTGAATCGATGCCTTATGCCACCGCATTCAGGGTGTGCTGCCAGCGGCGAAGCCAGTGCATATGTGTCGGGGTCATGCGACCCCGATAACTTTGTACGAATCAGTGGAACCCCGCGTATTCCGGACAGCTACGACCCCATCAAATTAAGTTCATGAATCTGTGCGACCCCGACAGCAGTTTAGTCTAGATTCGCCGCTGGCTGCTGAAAGCCTGAAACCTTCAAAGTAGACAGCCGATTGGAAGGACGGGACGGGTATTGCCCCCACAAGTCAGAAAGGCACATGGAGCCTCTGAAAGAACGTATGAAAGGCTGTTCACTGTGTTGCCCCTGCCCTGATCGGTTTAGTTTGCTTCAGAATTATCAGAGTGTATCGATCTATCGGGCTCTTGGTGATGCTTGCAACCATTTTCCCATCGGAGTGTTCTTCTCGGTTTAGTTTGCTTCAGAATTATCAGAGGTCAATAGGTCATGTCATGTGGTTTTGAGTCGTTTGACCTGTATGCAAAACCATTTGCTAGAAACATCGTTAAATCTCTTGGTGCAGTTTCATCGAACGATCAGATTGCATCATTAATTCTGATAGCTTTAGGGAAAGAGAAGGAAAACATGAAGTGAGGACTTCCAATCACTATACTATATCCTCACAGAGTGTGCCTGTGATAGGCTAATTTGTGTCCCATGGACAACTCGAGTGTTTGTGTTTTCTCAACTGTTGGACTTAGGTCCGTCCAGCGGGATGTTGCATACGCAACTCAAAGTTATCTTATAGCATACTCATTGTGGCATTCAGACTTTTTTTTTCCTGATGGGTTTTGTGAAACAAATTTTCTCCTCAAGTAAAACATTTTTTTTTCTTTTTGTTAGCTGCACACTATGATTTGAAATTCTTTCTTTTTGTGAAATTTGTTCTTTTTGTACTAGCAACATTTTGTTCTTTCTTTTTGTACTCAAGCAAAACATTGCTTTCCTAAACGACTAGCAATACTTAGTCAAGTGTTGTATTCCCTTCGTCGACAAATGAAAGGACTTCTTGAATCTATAAGACAATTTAAGTCAAATGAGAAAATACTCCCTGTGTCTTGGAATACAAGGTATCAAGAAATTTCAGGGCATATTATGTGGTAAGACAAATGACATATATAACCCTCCCTAATTATCATATTAGGGTTGATGATAGCCATTAATGGTAGGTATGCATGTGAATGTTGTCTTTTGTAGTGTTTGTTCACCTAGAGCTAGAATTCCTTATAATTTGGTACAAATTTTGAACTCTTGACCTTTATATTTCAGGACGGAGGGAGTAGGCTATTGTCCGTCATTAATTCTAAAGGAATAGCTTCTGATTGTTGCAATTAAAGAGCGACTACCTCCTGATTGGCACAATTAAAGGGTGTTCTGCTCCTGAATTATGCAATTAAAAAGTTAGATCTAGTCAGTACTCATAACTCAAGGTTGGTGTGTCCTACTCAAGGTTGCTGATGGTCGGAGGGTTTGAGGAACAAATGGATCGAGTCAAAACATGGCTGGAAGATTTCAAAGGGCCCCGACAAAGGGTTACTAGGAAGATCTAATGTAATGGATTTTGTTGGTAGATGTGTTACGTCTATAGCCAGTAGGCACTGGTTTAGTTTTTTCTACTCCCTCCAATCTTCGTTCCAAAAACAATGCAAACTAATTCAAACCATCTCAATAAAAATCTTAACAATTCTAATATCAAATAAGTATAATTAGATCATTATGAAGTATATTTTTATACTGTGCCTATCTGATATCATAAATATTGGTAAATTTTTTCAACAGATATAGTCAAACTTAAAATATTTGGATTTAGAACAATTCTAGAATTATATTGTTTTTTAGGACGGTGGGAATAGTCATTAGGTGATGATGAAAATAATGGTTTGGGCCAATGTTTTCAAGTCGTCCGATTAATCACGATTAATCGTCCTAATCGGTCCCTGCTGACTTATTAGGGGTACCGTCGACTTGTACAAGTCGTCCGATTAATCACGATTTCCTAGTCGGTTCCATAGCGACTAGGTTCGATTGGATGACTTGAAAACATTGGTTTGGGCCCATTTGCCATAGACGTGCCACAACATGATGGAATGAGAAAGGAGAAGCGGCCCTACGACAGCGCCAGGTACTGTCAACATACGCGATCCATCGGAGGACAGAAATTAAAGCATCAAGCTAATGCGGTCTTTGTTCCAGATCAGTAGTTGTCAGTAGGGCGAGTGATTAGCACCAGGGCACCACTCTCGGAGGTATCTTAACTCCTTAGGAACGTGATGATTGCCCGAGCAGAGTGCTTGATTATCGGTCAGAATTAGCCCTACTTTTCAGCCAGAATCAAATCAGTGATACTTTTCAGCTATGAAAACAGTGTTTTTCTCAAATAACAGATCAGCCTGCCTAGCATCAGTCGCTGTCAGTAGGCTCCGTTATTAGCACCAGTTGCATTGCCCCACTCTCGGAGGTATCTTAACTCGCAAGTAGGAACTAGGAACGAGTGGAGTGCTTGATCGCCACCTAACACCAAACCAATTAATAACGTAGCTGAAGCAAAACAAAACCGGACAGGTAGATGCAGGCATGCAGCAGCAGCGGCTAGCATCACTACAGTGGAGAGAAGTAATTGGAGCCCTACGTGCCTAGGACACGTACAGACTGGCGCTGTGCTAAATAAACGTAGTCCTGGTTTACTGTCTGTTCGCTAGGCTGAAAAGCCAAAATACTGTTCGTTAATTAGTGGACTAGCGAACAGGGCCATATATCTGCAACGTGTCGGGGCCTGAATCTTCTAGGTGCGCCGAACGCCGGAACTAGGTGAAATTAAACCGTGACATCTCGAGTGCAAGGGAGCAGTTTAACTAACATGAATGCAAGATTGCGATTTTTCCTCTGAAGAGTCTGAAGAGAGGAGGCCGATAGATACGATTAATAGTTACCCAAGGGGACGTTCCAGCAGGAGAAGACGAGGACGACCCCGAGCGGCTCCGGCACCACCTGCGCGGTCGCCGGAAAAGCGATCAGCGGAACCCACACCTGCGTTCGCAGACACAGCACAGAGGCGTCAGCAGCAGAGAACTGGACGGCCAGAGCAACCGCTGCTCGAGCTCGACCGATCGATCGTCTATTCTGATTTCTGAAGCATTTTGCCGTGGCTTGCCTTCTCCGGCGTCATCCATTTGCCGAGCTGCCGCAGCGCGCCGTTGGTGGACTTGATGAGCAGCCCGACCTGACAAAACCGAGAGAACCCCCAAGACAATGTCGATACACAAATCAAACAGAGCGAAGGCACGCACGCACGAACGCACTCAGAAAAAAAGAAGAAGCGATGGTTGAATGGCGACGGGGGGCGCGACCTCGTCCCTGTAGGCCTCGGCGTGGTGCTTGCCGAGATCCGTGCGGAGCGCCTGGAACGCCTCCGCCTCCTTCTCCTGGAGGAGCCGGAGGAGGCCCCGGAGCTGCGCCTGCCGCCACGCCACGCTCCGGGTCCTCCCGCCCTCGTACGCCTCCCGCAGCTCGCGCACCGTCTCCCCAAAGCCCAGCAGCGCGCCGGCGCCATCCGCCGCCTTGGTGGTGCCCATCCTCTCAAACTGGCGAGCTCACTCTTCTACAAAGCGAAACTGGCACGGTGAGAGAGGCTGAGACTGAGAGCTCGTCCCGGGGTTTGGGTGGCCCATTTATTGCACCTGGCGCGCCGCGCAGCTGCGTGCTGACACGACGCTTCAATGTTTCTTGCCGCAGTAGCCGTAGCATGCAGTAGCTTTTCCAAAATTTACTTGGAAGGGGGTGTTTGGTTATCTAAACTAATTTTTATCCTTATCACATCGGATGTTTGACACTAATTTAAAGTATTAAATATATTTTAATTATAAAATGTAGAAGAAAAATATTATTGATTGGTAAATATAAATAATATTTATATATAAGCAGATTAATTGGCCAGCCGATCTTCTCGCCTATCTATATAAGTTTTATAATTAAAATATATTTAATATTTAAAGTAGCTTTTCTGACAAAAATTAATAGCCGGAAACAAACACCCCCGAATCGTATCCAAGAGGTTGGGATGGATGAACGAGTCTTCAATGCATGTACAGGGGTAGTTTGCCGGAATTATCATTCTTCAATGCGGCAACTGCAGCAAGATTATTGATTCCTCCGGACGCTCTAAAATCTCTGTCGCTTCAAATAATATTTTCAAATATTTTTATATATATAAAATTAAATATAGATTAATTATAAAATTAATAACACAACTTATGACTAATTTGTGAAACTATCTTTTAAGTCTAATTAGTCCATTAGCCAAATAAACACTATATGGAACGGGATTAATTAGACTTAAAAATCATTTCACAAATTAGACAGGAGTGGCGCGTGTACTTTACAACTCCATCGTCCATTGAACCAAACCGGCTAAAGGCCTACGCCTTTTTTTTCTGCGGTTGCCATTATTGTGGCATTTTCGTTTGCACAATTATTGCATGGTTTCCAAAAGATCGGCTCATGCGGTCAATCAATGCTGTGTAATTAGTTATTTTTTATCTACATTTAATACTTGATATGTATCTAGAAATTTGATAAAGAGGGTTGAAAAATTGGAATCTAAACAAGGCCTGAAGGTGAAAAGGAGTGGCTGTACTTACAACTCTGAAATTCACTTTCTGCTGCCATTGTTGGGGCCATGCACTCGCGCGTCCACCGATCGGCTCATGCGCTCATGTGCCGTGTTCGTTGGGCTGATACGATTACTGCTGACTAATTTGTTGTTTTAAAAAATTAATATTTATCGGCTGAAAAATTATGAATTATAAGTCGAGCGAACAAAACGATCACTCAGGCAGTCCGGCAGCAGGATCAGCGACTAGAGAGGCACCACTGCACCAGGCATAGGCACGTGTACAAGGCTGGCCTAGCCCTAGCAGCCTAGGTAAAGGAACGTGGATGGTACCGTACGTCACATTCATTTCCTCCGCTGACGCTAGCTGCAAGCCTGCAACTGGAAACAGCAATGCCAGCGCGGAAGGCACAAAACAACCACACTGTATGGACCGTGAGCTCTTGCAATCTATACGGAGCACATGTTAAATTCAGGCCGGTCAGGGAAGATCAAGACTGCCTGACATGTGTGTGAGGATCCATGAAAAAAGACTGTACATATGCTGCTCGCAGAAGTGGTTGAACTGAGCGCCCGCGCCCGTGCGCTCTCGCAGTGCGCTCTCGCAGATGTTCATTTCTAATTGAGTACTGTAGATGGGGAGAGGTGCGTAGCTTTTTTTCTGATCTGACATGGGCTTAAGCAATAGGCCGTGCTGCTGCGTGTGACCAATACGCTACGTATCACATAATGGGCCTTATGCGGAGCGAAAGCCTACTGTCCACGGATTTTCCTACTTTTTCTTTGAGCAAATTTCGCTCTGCAAGTCGAAACATTGTTCCAGCTGATTTGTTGTGAGAGAAAAATACTGTTTCGGCTAAAAAAATAAGCTGAAAAAGACGGATTATAAGAGAAGCGAACAGGGCCAATAATGGGTTTATGTCGTGTTCGCTTTGCTGAAAAATCATGGCTAAAAGTATTATTCGCTGATTCATTGTAAGAGAAAAACATTGTTCGTTTGCTGAAATAGTATGACTTCGAACAAGACCACGCCAGTATGTTACAGAAAAAAAGAATCTATGCATACGTGCTGCAGATATTGGCCTGTCCACATCCCCGCCGTCCAAGTGAGATGCAGATCAACCCTCACGCGTGATGAAGTTGCCATCCACTAATGCTCTGTTCGTTGAGCTGATAAATCATGACTGAAAGTACTTTTGACTGATTTGTTGGGAGAGCAAATACTATTTATTAACCGAAAAAGTACGCCATACCAGCCAAGCGAACGTGGCGTAAAATTTCGCACGGGTCATGGGGAGTGTTCGGCTGAGCAAGTTCGGTTTATTTTTTCCGGCCGGGCAGTGTTTTTCTCTCATAAAATTTCAACATGAACAGTGTTTCCAGCATGAACAGTGCTTTATTTCATCCCAGCCGAACACTCCCAACCTCCATGGGATCGTGGCCTCGTGGGCTGTGCCGCTGAGCGGGATCATCCAGCCGAACTTCCATCAAGTCACATCAACGGCAACAAGCGGTGCAGCACAGGCCATCATCTGTTCGGTTGGGTGGTTCATATCGTTGCTGGTTCGTGAAGAAGTACTGCTGACTGGTTTGTGTGAGAGAAAAATACTGTTCTGGCTAGAAATTTACGATCGTTTACGACAAGCCACAACCAAACAAACAGGCTGCATAACCTTTAGGCACGCAATAAATGTTAGGGCATGGAAGTATCGTACGGTAAATCTTTCCTTCTGCTAAGAATTATTATTAGTGATCAATTTATTGTTAATCACGGTTCAAGAATAGACATAGAGAGACATCTTTTAGCATAGAGAGACACCTTTTAAAAAAAGAAGATTGCCCATTGGGCTTGTATATAGGTAGACAACATTGTTTATCATAAAATAGATATCCGTCACTTTCATTCACTATTTTCATTCAATACATTATCGACACGCTCACCATTGACGCGAATAGGAGAAGGGAAAGGAGAAGAGTTCGCCGTAGAAGGAATCATCGGCGTCGCTGCATCCTATGGTAGAAGATGTCGACTCCTGTACCTTCCATGAATGCGATGGTCGATTCCATCACCGACGCCGTGGAGACCGCCATCGCCCGCGGCAACCATGCCGGAGGCCTTCGCCGCTTCATGCTGCAGGGCGTCGTCCGCCGTGCCCTCCGGGATATATCCGACCACCGCATCCCTCCTCACCGCTTCCACGGAGTCCGCACTGGAGGGAGCAGTGGCCACCGTTCGTCGCCGCACCCGTTGTCCCCGCTGCAGTTCGCCCCCGCCGTCTGCCCAACGCATAGCCTAGCCATGTTCGTCAGGCACGTGGGGGCGTCGCCGAGGACGCCACCGACGCCGCTGGCCCCGCTCGTGCTGACTTGGAACAGCGGCGGTGGCTCCATGCCGCGCGCCGTGGGGCCCCTTCGCTCCCCAACCGCGGCACCGGATCAAAGATTTGGCCACCCAGCTTCGCCTACGACATCGACGTTGCGCTTCCACCACCACCTCCACCGTCCGGGCAGCGCTTCTATGCCGACGTGACGGCCAACCGCCGCCAAGGCCTGTGTCGGAACGTCCTCCCGCCCGGACACGCCGTCGGAGCCGGATTCGTCTCCTCCTTGAATGAGGAGGCGGCGGTCCCCCACCTTGAAAGGATCTAACAATGCCTAGAGGGGGTGAATAGGCATATCTAAAAATTAACTGCAAATGCTAAGTTCAAATTTATCAGTCAATGTCGGAAGTCCCGACGTTTGGGTCGGAACTCCCGACGTCGTCAGAAGTTCCGGCACAAACGTCAGCAGTTCCGACGCCTACGTGAACTACAAAAGCAGTACCAAATTTAACTTTGCGGATAAATAATCTTACAACCCCACTTCCTAGTGGTTTGGTGAAGATGTTGGGTCACTCCCTTGATGCCGTAATGCCTCCAAACCATAGATCGAGTTCAAACCCTAAAATAAAGTTTGAGAGAGAAAGAGACAAACAAATACAAGTAATCTCTAGCAATCACAACAACAAGCATACGGGACACAAGGATTTATTCCGAGGTTTGACAACCCCTCAAAGGAGCTCCTACGTCCTCGTTGTTGAGGTGATCACCAAGGTCGGAGTCTCTTCTACCTCCTTGCCTCTCTCAAAGCGACCACAAAGGTCACTTGAACTTTCCACTAAGAAATCGAAGGGTAATACAAACTTTCCAAGACTCTTCCACAAGATGGAAGCACTTGGGCAACGCCTAGCCGGCTAGGGGCAAAACCCCAAGAGTAATAGACACAAAACCAACCTGCTTGACGAAGAAATCAAGTGCTCAAGCTTGCCAAAGTGATTCTCTCACTTAATCCACCCACCTTTCACTCAAAACCCTAGTGGATTGAAGATTGGAGCAAAGGAGGAGGAGAGGGGTGCTTTTCTTGCTTGGGAGCTATTGGGACGAAGTTAGATCAACTGTGAATGAGTCCGTAACGGTTAGAAGTGAAGAGAGGGGTATTTATACTCTTAGTAGAAATCTAACCGTTCAGATCTACGTCGGAAGTTCCGACGTAGATCTCGGGACTTCGATGTTAATAGAAAGCACTGTTCACACAGGGTTAGAAGTTCACACGTGCAAGTCAATGTCGGAACTCCCGACAAACGTCGGGACTTTCGACGGTCGGAACTTCCGACATACGTCGGGACTTCCAACGTGCGCAGTTAAACAACCAGCCAGCACCGCTTCAGGTGTCGAGACTCCCGACATGGGTCGGGACTTCCGACGGTCGGAACTTTCGACGTACGTTGGGAGTTCTGACGTGCAGCAGCCGGCCAACAAAACCCCTAAAGCCGGGACTCCCGGTTTGGGTCGGGACTTCTGACTGTCGGGAGTTCCGACTAACGTCGGGACTTTTGACGTCCATAGTCACCATCGCAGGTTAAGTGACAGGGAGTCAGAACTTCCGACATGAGTCGTGACTTCCGACGGTCGGGAGTTTCGGCTT